CGGCCGGCGCCCGCCCGCGCGCGCTTCCCCGCCCCGCCGCCATCCCGCCCTCGCCGCCGGCCCTTTCTCTGCCGCCCGCTCCCTGCCCCTGGCTCTGCCCCTTCCCTCCCCCAGGCCCCCTCCTCCTAGACCTGGGTCCTCCTTGTCCGTCCTCGCGGGTCTCCTTGGCCCCGGCCCCATCTCTCCCCCTATCCCCGCCCCAGGTCTCCCCTTCTCTCCCAACCTCGGTGCCCCGCGCTGCCCTCGGGCTGGGAGCCTTCATCATCCCCCACCCCACTCCCTGCTCCACTTTACCCCATCTATCCCCCCAGGGCAGGGGCGGGTCTCCCCAGGCTGCCGGAGAGGGGGCTGTGTCTCCCTTTGGGTCCTGGGCTCCAGGCACCAGGAGACAGGCCAGGAGGGCAGAGGCAGGAACGCGGCAGGAGGTGGGGACCGACCCCATTTCGCAGTTGGGTTCAACTCCAGGGCTCAGGAGAAGTTAGGAGAAGAGCCAGTGGGAGAGGGGTTGAGACAGATGCAGGCAGGTCCTGCCAGGAGCTGGGGAGCAGCCTGCGCCCCTCTTTGGAGCCTTGTGCTCTTTGAACCTCAGCATCTTCACCTGAGGCCAACCTGGCTGCCCGGCCGCGGTGCAGGGGCACGGGGCAGGGAGATCTCGCCCCCACCCATGGTTCTCCTGGCGATGTTTGCACAAGTGCGTGTGTGTGTGTGGAGCTGTCCACCCCTGGTGCGAGGCTACTGTGTGCCGGGTGCCTGCCCTCAGCCTGCACGTGGGGCTGTGCAGCCTGAGTGTGCAGGGCTGGGTGAGACAGGGTGTCGTGTACAGCTGTGTGCGTGGCGGGCACACATGGCGAGCAAGCGGCTTGTTTGCACACACTCAGGTGTGCGAGTCTGACAGCTGTGAAATGAAACAGCCCTGCGCGGAAGCGTGTGTACAAACAAGGCGCTGTTTCCCCAGGAGCTGCCTGGGCGGGTGGACCCTGCCTCTCCCTCTCCCTCCCCCCGCACCTGCTCAGGCTCTGGCTGACCCTCCCCTGGCCAGCAGTCACCAGAATGTGAGCTCCCACATTCTCCATGCGGGCAGTTCGCTCTCTGGGACACTTGGAGACCGGGAGGGACAGTTCCCGGACACGGGGGCTGTCGCCTGGGCGCCAGGTGGGGAGGCTGCTGGGGTGGACAGGGGCCGACCTCCGCCCCGCCCTCCCCAGTACGATGAGCTGCCCCACTACCCACGCCTCCCGGACGGCTTCCCTGAGGCAGCACCCTCGGCACCCAGAGCCCCCGGGCCCTACGGCCCGCCCCGGCCCCCCCAGCCCCCTGCCCCAGGCCTGGACAGTGACGGCCTGAAGAGGGACAAGGACGAGATCTACGGGTGAGTAGGGGCCGGGGCTGCAGCCCTGCCTCTCCCGGGCTCCCCCTCCTCTGCTCTCTGAACTTCCCCTTCCCGCCCCACCGCCAGACACCCGCTCTTCCCGCTGCTGGCCCTGGTCTTTGAGAAATGTGAGCTGGCCACGTGCTCACCTCGTGATGGGGCCAGCCCGGGGCTGGGCAGTCCCCCGGGCGGCGACGTCTGCTCCTCCGATTCCTTCAATGAGGACATCGCTGCCTTTGCCAAGCAGGTGGGCGCCCGCGTCCTCGGCGCGCCGGGACAGCTGCGAGGAGGGTGGGGGGAGACGGCTGTGCCCTGCCGGCCTCTCTCTTGCCTCCAGGTCCGCTCCGAGAGGCCCCTCTTCTCCTCCAACCCAGAGCTGGACAACCTGGTGAGACTGGGCCCTGCCCCGTGTCCCACCATCCCCAGGAGTCAGCTGAAGGGACTGAGGGCATCACTGGCCCTGTCCTCAGAGCCTGGTGCTAGTCTGTCCGCTAGCAGCACTGTGGAGCCTGGAGTTGTTCAGATCCCAGCTCTGAGCGCCAGGGCAGGTGGCCTCACCTCCTGCTGCCTGGGGGCCCTGTGGCCAGCAGTCACTTCCTTCTGGGGGGGTGGGCAGCAGGGGCTGCTCTGTCAATCGGGAAGGCGGAGACACCAAGAGTGAGAGATGCCCGGCTTCTCCCTTTGTGCCCCGAGCTCCTATGACCAAATCCTGCAGCAGAGGACTCTGGGAAATGTGGTTGCAGGTGCAGGGGGAAGTGGAGCCGTGGGCAAGCAGGCGCGGGATGGGGGATAGCAGGTCCCAGCTCCCGGGCCCTGCTGCATCCGGCGCGTTTGTGGGGCTGGCTTCTCCTTTGGCTCTGCCTCTAACCTCCCCCTGCTCTGGGTCCCTGTCACTGTCCTCATCACCGCCTCACTCTTGTTCTCTCGTCCCCCCACCTCTGGTCCCTTCCTGTCCCCGCCTCAGATGGTCCAGGCCATCCAGGTGCTGCGGTTCCACCTGCTGGAGCTGGAGAAGGTGAGCACCGCCCCGCCCCGCTCCATCGGGGTCTCTCCCCACGTGCCCTGCGCACCCCGGCCCTGGCCCCTGGGTGGCCCCCCCAGTACCCCGGTGCCCCCCCAGGTCCACGACCTGTGCGACAACTTCTGTCACCGCTACATCACCTGCCTCAAGGGGAAGATGCCCATCGACCTGGTCATTGAGGACCGCGACAGCGGCTGCAAGGACGACCTCGAGGACTACCCGGCCCCCTGCCCCAGCCTCCCAGACCAGGTGGGCATCAGAGCGGGAGGGGCACTAACCCCACCCCACCTGGCCGGGGCGGTGCCCCCACACACGGCTGTCTGTGCAGCAGGTGCACACTCAGGCCCACAGCACAGGCTGTGCTGAAGCAGCCTCCCGGCCACGTGACGGGGCCTGGGCCACCGCCAGCCCAGGGTAGCGCCCACGCATGCCACACAGCCCGCTGGGCACAGTAGGGGCCTGCAGGGGGATACCCATGCAGTTTACCTGGCCCCAGTGCTGGGGGTCGGAGGAGGCCAAGGCCTGGTGCCGGCCGCTGCGGGTGGGGGTGCTCTCTCTGTGCCATCGCATGCTGAGGGGTTCAGGGGAGACGGAGCATGGTGCCAGCCCAGGTCTGTCTTCCTCTTCTTACAAAGCCACTGCTGCCACCACGGGCCCACCCCTGCCACCCTGTCAGTCCTGGTTCCCTCCACGGGCCTTTCCCTGTGAACACGCGAGCTTTGGGGATACACAGCCCAGACCCTGCCCCACAGACACAGCCAGCCAGGGGGTCACGGCGTCGGCACGAACGTGTGTGTGTGTGTGACCGTCACACTGCAGCTGAGCTGCAGGAGACGCACGCACACCACTGCCGCCCATGCAGGCTGGAAGGGCCGAGTAAACCCAGTGGCCCCTGCCCAGCTCACCAGCCTCGCAGTAACTCCCGGGAACCACAGTTCCACACACGCAGGCAGGGACAGGGAGCTTCTCAGGCCAGGCAATCCTGGGGCGTGGAGCTGAAAGCAGTCGCCAGGGGCAGGTGGGTACCGGGGGCTGAGCAGCCGCAGGGAGCAGTGTCCACCCCCGGTCTGAAGCAGGGCCAGCCAGTCGGCAGCCCGGAGAGGAGCAGGGTGCCCAGGCCGGCGACCGTGGCTGAGACCTTTGGCAGGACAGAGCCGCCTGGGGCAATGGGACCAACCTGTGTGGTGACAGAGACCCCGCAGTCACGATGGGCGGCCCAGCCCCCGCACACGGCACCAGGGCGAACCCCACACATGGAGTACCTCACATCAAGAGGACACCCCCCCACACCTTCCTCGGCCATTCTGAGACCCCAGAGTCTGATAACTCAAATCTCTTCCCCCTGTAACTTTAGTGCGAACCCCTCGGCAGCAAAGTCTGAGCTGGACTCAGGAGATGCGATTGACAGGCTAGATTGTGTGCCACTTCGTTAAATAGTCATCAATGTTAATGAGTTTGGTGCTGAGGCTGTGGGTGTGCGCCGATCGGCGGCTGAACTGTGCGAAGTTCGGGTTCTGAAATGTGTCCAGGACGAGGTGCTGAATCCTGGCCACGTTTTGCACTTGAGGGAATGGCACAGAGGTGAAGGGACTAGCCAAGGTCACACGGCCAAGAAAGGGCAGGGACGGCTCCCACGCGGGAGGCCTGGCTCCAGAGCCTGCGTTCTTAGAGCTGCCATGCTGCCCTGGGCCCTGGCCAAGGTGCTAACTGCCGACTCTTGTCTCCTAGTCTACCACGTGGATTAGAGACCAGGAGGACAGTGGGTCTGTGCAGCTGGGGACCCCGGGTCCCTCCAGCGGAGGCCTGGCCTCTCACAGTGGGGACAACTCCAGTGACCAAGGTGAGAGCATGGGATGTGGTCTGAGGATTGAAGTTAGACTGCAGGTAGGACTTGCAGAGGGGCCAGGAAGGCTGAGGGTGAGGGTCTGGGACCCCAGCCCGCCTCTCATTGCTGTCTGCACACACAGCTTGCCTGTCACCTCCAGGGGATGGCCTGGACACCAGCGTGGCCTCTCCCAGTTCCGGGGGCGAGGAGGAGGAGCTGGACCAGGAGCGGCGGCGCAACAAGAAGCGGGGGATCTTCCCCAAGGTGGCCACCAACATCATGAGGGCCTGGCTGTTCCAGCACCTCTCGGTGAGCGCCCCCAGGGGATGCCCAGGCACCGAGGGGCAGAGACTCACCTGTCACTCTAAGGCCTTCGCCTCACCCAGCCCTCCTGAGTGATGAGGGGCGGAGCTGTCATCTCATTTGCAGAGGAGTATCTGAGACACAGAGTGCTTAGGGGACTTGCCCAAGGTCACACAGCCAGGAAGAAGTGTCTCAAAGGCAGGCCATCTGGCCTTACCCACTGGGGCACACTGCTTCGTTGCGAGAGATGAGAAACTAGATGAGGGGCCACCACAGAGACTCGGGAGACACTGAGACAGAAGCAGGGAGAGGAAGAAGGGGTGAGGGGTTAGGAGCGACTCACACCTGGACCCTGTCAGACTCAGGGCCCGGCTGGGCTGTGCCCTACCCCGCCCTGGGGTCCCCTCCCCAGCTTGGCCACCCAGAGACAGCTGCCAGTCAGCCTCTGACTGCTGGAGGGGGCAGGGCGCCCGCCGGCCCCAAGCTTGGCCACACTGGCCACCCTGGCCGTCCCCGCCCCGCCCCAGCCTGGGATCTCCTCCCACGGGCCTGCGGGCCAGGCCTTGGGACCAGGTGGGCAGGCAGGGTGACTCTTGCTGGGGGCCGCAGCACCCGTACCCCTCCGAGGAGCAGAAGAAGCAGCTGGCGCAGGACACGGGGCTCACCATCCTACAGGTCAACAACTGGTGAGTGGCGGCGGCTGGGCGGCGGGCGCTGTCCGCGGTGCTGATGGCGGCCTGAGCCTCGCGCCCCATGCACTCACCTCTGCCGCCCTCCTCCTCTCTCCCTACGGCTGCCCTCAGGTTCATTAACGCCCGGAGGCGCATCGTGCAGCCCATGATCGACCAATCCAACCGCACAGGTATGGGGAGAAGGTGGAGGGAGGGCCATCAGACTCGGAGGGCTTGAAGCCACTCAGCCTGTTCCCTCCCCACCCAGGGCAGGGCGCGGCCTTCAGCCCCGAGGGCCAGCCTCTGGCAGGCTACGCAGAGACTCAGCAGCAAGTGACTGTCCGGCCTGGTAAGGCCCCGCCTCCCGAGCTAGGCCCCTCCTCCAACAGAGGCCCACCTACTGAGACTGTGGGGGGGGATAATGCAGCGCTTCCTTTGGCTGTGGGGGCGTGGGGGGCAGAAGAGGCCCCACCTTCCCCCTCCGCTGCTCACTTCCCCAGGCCCCACCCACCATGTGCCAGGCCTCCACTTTCTCTAAAAGGGTCAGCGTTGTTTTAAAAGATGACCCAGTGTGTCCCAGAAGGAAGGGGCCGGTGGGGCATCTGCGGGAGACCCCCGACCTCCCCTCCTGTCTTACAGGATCCGTGGGGATGAGTCTGAACGTGGAAGGAGAGTGGCGCTACCTCTAGGGCCAGACTCAGGACAAGGGTGTGTGCCGAGGCCCGGGCTCTGCTGCCCTCTCCTCCCAGCTCCAGTCGTGCCCCTCCCTGTCCTGCACCCCTCCCCACACAGTCATCCTGGACTGAGACCATCCATCCATCCATCTGCCCGTCCGTCCCTCTGTCCACTCACCTGTCCGTGTTTACCCATCCATCAGGCATCCTCCCTGCCACGCGCCGTCTGTCCGGCCGCAGGCTCACCACGCTCCACGCTGACCCGGGAGACCCCCTACTTATCCATGTGTTCAGCCACCCACTGCCTACCCACGCACCTACCCCCTGACCCACACTGAGCCCCCGCCCCTGGAGAAGCTGTGATCTCCAGGAAGGGGAATCAGAAATCAGTGGCGCCACTGAAAGCGTGGAACTGCTCCGAGGAGGCCGTCAGGGAAGTGGCCTCCGTGGGGCCCTGAGGGATGAGTCCCCTGGGAAGGAGTGGGAATGAGCTGGCGCCGGTCCTGGGACTTCGCTCTGGCCAGGCACTGCCAAGGTGGGCGAGACATCTCTGTGCGGTCCTCATGACCACCACCAGGGGGAGACACGGCCACATTCCTGTCACAGATGAGAACCCAGGCCGAGTTCACTTCCAGTTCACTCAGCTCAGAAAAGCAGGGAGCAGTGTGTGCAAAGGCCCAGGGTGAGAGGCAGCCAGAGTTTTGGACACACAGCTCAGATCTTGCCCCTCCCTGGAGGGAAACCCTTCTGGGGCTCCCCAGTGCCCTCTGGACACAGCGCACTCTGTAGTGTCCATACGTCCGTCCAGTGCACATGCCCTAAGCCCTGTGCCCAGCCCTGTGCTGCATGGTGCTGGGGACAGAGTCACCACCATGACAGCCAGCCCGCCCTCCTAAGGCTCACAGTCCAGGGGGGGAGACTGACCCATCCCCAGGCAGGGACCACCCAGAACAGGCGGGGTGGGGCCTAGAGGAGCCCTGAGGGGCTGCAGGAGCCAGGCTGGGAAGAGGGCTCCAGAGAGCGCTTCCTGGAGGAGGGGGCCTTCAGACTACAGCCTGGGAGGAATGTCTAGCAGTGGGGCCAGCAGAGCACGGAGACCCTCAGAGCCACGACACTGCCCCCTCACAGGGGCAGCGTGGGCGATGGGTTCAGGCTGGCAGAAAGGCCTGGCAAGGCTGAGGCACGGAGGGGACACTGGGGGTCTGAGCCAGGGAAGGAGATGCACGGGTGCGTCCAGGCCTGGGAGGCCCATGGGCAGCTCGGCTCTGCGTGGGCAGGCATGGGCCATGGCTCTGTCAGCGTCACGTGACCTCTGGGGGCCCACTCTCCTGGCACCCCCGCCTCTCTCCCCCATCCCCCGCCATCTCCCCACGTCCCACCTCTGGCTGTGATGTCTTCCCGTCTGCCCTGCCTGTGGCACTCCCTTCTCTGCCCCGTCTCTGCCCTGCTCTCCAGCTCCCAGTCTCCACACTCCTCCCACTGGTCCCTTCCCTCGGTCTCCCCCTCTGAGACTGCTGTGCTGCACAGGGGGGCTGAGGGGGGCTGACGTGGGCCAGCCCTGGGCGGAGACCACGGCCTCACACCTGGTTGGCCCCGCCTCCCCTCCCACAGGCCCAGCCCTGGGCGGAGACCACGCCTCACACCTGGTTGGCCCCTGCCAGGCTCTCCAGCTTCAGGATCCCCTCCTTAAGGCCCCTCCACTCATCGCCTACCTCCCTGGGGCCCTGCCGGGACACGGGGACCTGCACACCCACCCAAGGCTCTCTCAAGGACCAAGCAAGACCTCCAGGCCCTGGGCCCTGAGCTGAGCACTTGGGCCTGGGTCTACAGAGGACAGTGGCTAGGGCCCCGCCTGTGGGGCAGAGAAAGGAGGGGGAAAGCTGGGGCCGAGGAGGAGGGATGGCCCCCATCCTCATCTTGGGGAGCCCCTGCCTGCTCCTGCCCTGCACCCTGCTGCCTCCCCCACCACCCTTCTCTGGTGTCTTCTACTTTTTTTAAAATGATAAAAGTCTTAGAAACACACGCCACCACTGGCAGTTTCTGTGTCTTCCAGGATTTCAGGTTCTCTTAGGTCTCAGTAATAATACTTGTTCTACTCCCTCTTCCAGCTACGGCTGTAAAACAGGCCCAAAACTGTGGCTCTGAACGGGGCCGGGGAGGGGGGGGCTCTGGGCTCTGGTCGAGGCCAGCCACAGGGCAACAGGAGGGTAGGACCACGTGGCTGTCATCACCCAGCAGGCTGTGCTTGCTCAGAGAGAGGCCTGGTCAGGCCGCCACGGGAGCAAGGCCCGTCTGGGTTCTAGGGGAGAACTGGACTCCCCCTCTGGGACGCACATGGGTGAGCGATGTGGGTGAGCTGGGCATGGACAGCTGGGCCCCTCCCTGCAGCCACACCAGCTCCTCCCACATGTGCCCCTTTTGCGTGCAGCAGGAAACCAGTTTCCCTGCAAAATAACCACCAGAGCCAGCGCTGGCCAAAAAACTAACATGGCTGCCGACTTCATCTCCCCAGTGGCCTTTCACTAGCTACAGGATTACCATGATAAAGGGACCTGGCTGACACTCCCACTCCCATCATGCACCAGACCCCATGACACTTCAGAGTTTCACAAAAGCATAGAAAAATGGGTGGCACTCAAGTCCTTTGTGACTACGGTGAGTATTTCCTCCAAATTCCCTAGGCCAGCAGTGGAGTGGGCCAGGGACAGAGCAGGGAAGACTTCCTACAATCCCCTCTTAAAGGTGGGCAGGGGCAAGGCAAGGCCAGACTAAGGCTGAGGGCTACTTCTAGAGATGCCACTCCTGCCTGGCACCGGGCAGGGTCTCGCAGCTGGCAGAGGGACCCTGGTGACTGGAGTGGGGGCAGCTCCCTGCTCCCCTCTCCTGCCTGTTCCAGGGACTGGACATGCCTGTCACTTAATCCTAATTAAACCAACTGGCCGTGCCAGGTAGGAGGTTAATTGTAACTAAAAATACCTCCCCACTTCCTGGATGAGGGACCCAAAGTGCTGGGCCCCAGTCCTGGGGCTGCCTGGTGTGTGTGGGGGCATTGCTGACAGTGGGGTGGGGACGGGGGCCTGCCTGGGTGGAAGATGGGGGGCGGGGCTGGGGGCATGTCTGGCATAGCTGTGGGCTATGACTGGAGGGACGAGGGTGGGTGTCACTGGAGCCACCCACTGGGAAATGGCTGTGTCCACCGCTTTGTCACACACAGGAGCCCTGGTGAAGGTGTGTGTCTCTGAGAGTCTGTGTCCGTGACGATGGTAGTAGGGGCTGTGTTTGGTGCTGGGAGAGGGATGTCTGGGTTCTGAGGGCCACCCTGCATTTGCCTGTGACGTGTCTGGGCGGGGTTGGTGTCTGTGCTTGAGCTGGGTGGTGGTCACAAGTCATCGGGCCACCCATGGGTCCAGAGCTGTAATCAAGTGCATCTTGACCACAGGACACCATCTTGCACGCACCTCCCTGATGAGGCTCCTCTGTGAGCCAAGCCTTACGGTGGGAACTGAGGTGGAAACCTAAACCCAGTGGGGACAGGCAGGAGACAAAGGCAGTCTGGGCATGGCCATGGGCCTAGCCGTGACCCTGGACAGCAATGTCAGGGCAGCCACCAGAAGGGTCCATTGGGGCCAACGTTGTGGCACCGCAGGTTGGGCCACCTGTGACACCTGACACCGGTGTCCAATAGGGGCACTGGTTCAAGTCCTGGCTTCACTTCCCATCCAACTCCCTGCTAATAGCCTGGGAAAGCAGTGGAAGGTGGCCCAAGTGTTTGGGGCCCTGCACCCACATGGGAGACCCTGATGGAGTTCCTGCAGTCATTTGGGGAGTGAACTATTGGATGGAAGTTATGAATGTTACTTGGTCACAGTTTTATTGCAATATAATTAATATACTATAGAATCCACACAGCTTTTATCTATCACCAAGTTATGCATCCATCACACAACCAACTTTAGAGCATTTTCAACGCTTTCGAAAGAAACCCTAATCCCCACAGCAGTGGCCCCCAGCCCCAGCCCTCAGCCACCGCGGATCTACCTGCTGTCCCCTCAGGCTGACTGACTCTGAAGGTTCCTCCCACTCGGCGCCAGGTCCTCAAGGTTCATCCACGGCATGGCAGGAGCCAGTGCGCCACTCCTCAGCTGCCACATGATACTCCGTGGCCCTGGAAGAATTCTGAGCTGAGAAGGGACAGCATCAAGTTTGCGCCTCACCCCTGGGGCAGACCAGAGGTGTGGCAGGTTCATCGTGTCCCCCACTTACGCTGAGGTCCCATTCCTGGCACCTGTGAGCGGGAACCTATTTGGAAATGGGGTCTTCTGTGGTGCCCAGGTGAACAGGCCTGCAGGGGTGGGCACACTCACTGGGAGGACACCATGTGGACAGAGGCTGCAATGAAACGGCCATCAGCCTAGGGCGCCGGACGTTGCCAGAACCTGCCGGGAGTGGTGAGCAGGCAGGCAAGGGCTCCCCAGCAAGCTGCAGAGGGGCGCTTGAATTTGGACTTCAGACCTTTGGAACTCCAAGACAAGCTTCTATTGTGTGAAGTCCTCCAGTTTGCGGGATTTGTGACAGTGACAGGGAGTGTGAGGGGACATGGGGGCAGGGCGGCAGGAGGGGAGGAGAGGGACTGAAGAACTGCCCAGCAAGCAGCGCGGGACAGGGAACTGCCCAGAGGCGAGGAGGAGCTGGCCTGAGGGCTCAGGGCGGCAGGCGCAGTCAACACGAAGTCACCACACTCGACCCTGGCAGGGGAAAGCGAGGGCGGGACAGGAGGAGGCGGTTACCGGCTGTTTTACTGAAGGGTTGGTCAGGCTGAGCAGCAGGGGACAACTAAACGGTGGCCACACAGCAGGGGCCTGCCTGGGGAGGGTGGGCAGTGTGGGAGGTGAGGGTGTGGCTTCTGTGTGCCAGGTTGAAGGTCAAGGGCACACGGAATTTTCACTGCCATGGCAGGGTGGTGGGCAGCAGAGAGAGGAGAGGACGGGGCTGAGGGCTTGGTGGGTGCAGCAGTGGGAGGTGGCTTGGGACTTCCCACGTGACACAGTCCCACGTCCCTCGGATGCCACGGGAGCTGGCTGACAAGCCAAGCAGGGCGCTGCCTGACTGCTGTGGCCGTTGACACGGGCTGAGAACCTGGTGCAGGGCAAACCCCTCTAACCTGAAGACCTGAACGCTGAGTGCTCCCAATGCAAACTGTTCTGAGCATGGACATGAGTTCCCCCAAACTTTGTTTCAAACACAAATTGGTTAAATATTGTACAGGGGCCGGCGCTGTGGCATAGCGGGTAAAGCCACCGCCTGCAGTGCCAGCATCCCACATGGGCGCGGGCTTGAGGCCCGGCTGCTCCACTTCCGATCCAGCTCTCTGCTGTGGCCCGGGAGGGCAGTGGAAGATGGCCCAGGTCCTTGGGCCCTGCACCCACATGGGAGACCTGGAAGAAGCTCCTGGCTTCGGATCAGCACAGCTCAGGCCATTGTGGCCATCTGGGGAGTGAACCAGCGGATAGAAGACCTCTCCCTCTCTCTGCCTCTCCTTCTCTCTCTGTGTAACTCTTTCAAATAAATAAATAAATCTTTAAAAAAATATATTGTACAAAGTCACCTTCAGCCTATGTGTATGGAACATAAACAAACACATTTCATGTTTAGTCCTAGGTCTCATCCCTAAGAAAGCTCATTGTGTATATGCAAATACTAAAAAAAAAATCTGAAACTTGTGGAGCCCCAGGCATTTGGGACAAGGGATTCCCCACCCGTCTGTGAAAGGCACCGCTCTGTGCGTGCAGGTCGGCGCCTCCCACTCCCCCGAGAGCTTGGTGAGGCAGGAGCACTTCCCCTCACATCCCAGAGGACACGAGCATGGGAGACGGGAGACACTGTCCTCCTCCTGCTCCCAGCCCGAGGCTTGCTGTGGTTCTGCAGAGCAGCCCCACGAATCGGCACACCGTGGCTGGTGCGCATGACGCAAAAGCCAAAACCAGTGAACTGCTGAGGAAAACGAGATCCCTTAACAAGAGAAAAGGAGAGACGCACGACACCCATGGGCTGGGACGTCTCAACTCTCCCCACGTACCTACAGAGTCAAGACAGGTTCAGTGCAAACCCAGCAGGCTTGAGACTGGCGAGCTGATTCAGAAGTGCATGGAGCAATGTGGAAGGCTTGGAATGACCCAAAGAACACCACAGTTGGCACTCGCACTGCCTGCCTTCCAGACCCGCTGTGATGCCACGGGGACGCGCTCAGCACACACTCCCCGACAGGACAGGGCTTGGAGAGGCCCACGTGGGAGGAGTCCGCCATCTTCAGGAAAGGTGCCAGGTTAATGAAAAGGGAAATAAATGAATTCAATGGCTTAAAGAACCAATCGACACTCATATACAGAAGGGGCTCACATGCACAAAACTAACAGAAAGTGAAGCATTAAAACAAGGGTAAAATCTAAAACTACAGAACTACGAGGAGAAAAACACCACAACCTTGAGGGTAGGCAAAGGAACACCAATGCTTAAGTAGCAGAGAAGGAACTGAATTTCATCCAAACTGAATGTGCGTGCCTGGGGCTGGCGCTGCGGCACAGCAGGCTGAGCTGTCGCCTGTGGCGCCCACATCCCAGAGAGGTGCCCCTGCAAGTCCCGGCTGCTCCCCTTCTGATCCAGCCCCAGGCTGATGTACCTAGGAAGGCAGTGGAAGGCGGCCCAAGTACCCGAGCCCCTGCACCCAGGTGGGAGCCCCAGGCTCCGGGTTTTTTTTTTTTTTTGACAGGCAGAGTGGACAGTGAGAGAGAGAGAAAGGTCTTCCTTTGCCGTTGGTTCACCCTCCAATGGCCGCCGCGGCTGGCGCGCTGCGGCCGGCGCACCGCGTTGATCCAATGGGAGGAGCCAGGAGCCAGGTGCTTTTCCTGGTCTCCCATGGGGTGCAGGGCCCAAGCACCTGGGCCATCCTCCACTGCACTCCCGGGCCACAGCAGAGGGCTGGCCTAGAAGAGGGGCAACCGGGACAGAATCTGGTGCCCCGACCGGGACTAGAACCTGGTGTGCCGGCGCCACTAGGCGGAGGATTAGCCTAGTGAGCCGCGGCGCCAGCCAGGCTCCTGGTTTTGTCCTGGCTCAGCTATGGCCACTGTGGCCATTTGGGGAGTGAACCTGCGGAAGAAAGATCTGTTTCTCTCTTCCTGCCTCTCTTCTCTGTAATTCTACCTTTCAAATAAAAAACCTTTTATAAAAAAATGCATGCTCTCCAAAACACTGTTGAGAAAATGGAAAGACAAATGTATGAGGATGTTCAAAAAGTACATGGAAAATGAGTATTATGGACAAACCATGCATGGATTTCACTGGGTTTTTTGCACCAAAATCAACTTGTACTAACTTGCTAGGCCTCAACAGCGTCCAGTTTGAGGCACTGAGAGGGCAAAGGCATCAGTCTGACAAGTGTCCCTTTTGGAGCAACACGAATCCTGGTAGAACTGCAGGATAAACACCAACGCGAGTGAAGCCTGGGTGGAAGAATGGTGACGTCACTGATGCCTTAAGTAAGGAGGGTGGGGACAGCGCCCCAGAGAGGTCGGCTTACAGACGGGTGACGTGTTAAAGAGGGAGGAAAGTGGCTGGCACTGAGGCACACTGGGGAAAGCCACTACCTCTGACACCAGCGTCCCATATGGGCACTGGTTCATGTCCTGGCCGCTCCTCTTCTAATCCAGCTCCCTGCTGGTGCGCCTGGGAAAGCAGTGTCAGATGTCCAAGTCCTTGGGCCCCTGCACCCATGTGGGAGACCTGGAGGAACCTTCTGGTATCAGCCTGGCTCAGCCCTAGCCATTGTGGCCACTTGAGGCAGTCAACCAGTGGATGGAGGATCTCTGAGTGCCTTTCCCTCTAACGCTCTCAGATAAATAAATAAAACTTTTTCTTAAAAAGGGGCGATGACGCCAGGTGTGAAGCGTGCAGTGGCAGACCACTCACGTGAACTCACTGTGCCCTCCCTGGACTGACGGCCCACACGGCAGCACCGGAGTTGCTCTGGCTTACACACTTTCTGCCCCACGCTCAGGACGCCGGCACCCAGCTCGGCTGCAGACGGGAGCCGAGACTCCCATGGAAACTAAACAAGTGCGGTCGAAGCATCTAAGCAGGACGTGACACCCAGGTTTACTAGCACGATCCTGAGAAGAGGCGCGGTCAGAGCAGCGGCTCCCGAGAGCAGACGGTCGAGCGCAGAGTCATGGCATCAGTTTCCCAGGACGTCCAGGCATCTTGCTTGCCAGCTCCCTGAAAGGCCGGAGGACAATCCCATCTGTGTATAAGGAGAGTGCTGAACAAAGTTGGCCAAAGGCTTTTTTTTTTTTTTTTTTAAGTGATTTATAGTTTATTTGAAAGGCAGAGTTAGAGATCCCAAATGCCCACAACAGCCAGAGCTGGGCCCGGCCGAAGTCACCCGGGTCTCCCACATGGCTGCAGGGGCCCAAGCACTTGGGCCATCCTCCGTTGCCTTCCCAGGCGCACTGGCAGGGAGCTGGATTGCAGTGGGGCAGCCCTGTGTGCGCATATGGGTGCTGGTATCAGGCAGTGGCCTAACCACAACCAAGGTTTTGAAGAGAAAATGCCTAGGGAGGCTCCACCGAAGTCCCCTAACACAACCAAGCTCCCGCTCACCAATCCCGGGCCAGTCTGGGCAAGTTTTAAGGGACTCTGGGCATCTACCTCACAGTTCTGACTTGGCTTCTTGTTTCCTACGATTAAGGGCACTCACTTGTCTTCAGCTAATGCAGAAAAGACGGCACTGACTGGGTCACACTCGCATGACCCGAGGTCCTGAGGGGTGGACTCAGCAGCTGTCGCGGCCACGGAAGCGTCTCCAGTGCTGCAGCCTAAAACTGGAGCAGTAACTCAGACTGAGGGGACAGCTGTGTGGCACACGGGGTGCCCACGTTCCACACTGGAGTGCCAGCTTAAGTCCTGGCCACGCTGCTTCTGCTCCAGCTCCTTGCTAACGCATACCTCAGTCCCTGCCACCCAAGAGGGAGACCCTGGATGGAGTTTCTGGGTCCTGCCTTGAGCCTGTCCCAGCCCCAGCTGTTGTGGTCATTTGGGGAGTGAACCAGCAGATGGAGAACCTGTCACACTTTCAAATGACTTTTTTTTTAAAGACTTTTAAAGTTTAGATTTTCCTCTTTTAATCCCATACTTCGATGAATTTTCTGAAGCCTTTTCATGGATGTGGAAAAAATATTTATTAACATATTACCTGATAAAGGACTTGTGTCCAGAATATAGTTTTAAAAATCTTTGAAACAGTAAGACACACAATCTCTCTGGCAGAGAGACAGTTCACTCCTGGTTCACTCCTCAAATGCCTGCAAAAGTTGGGCTGAGCCAGACCAGGCCAGGCCAGGCCAGGCCAAAGCCCAGAACCAGGAGCTCTACCCGGGTCCCCACGTGGGTGCAGGGACCTAAACACCTGAGCCCTCACCTGCCGCCCCCAGGGCGCACACTAGCAGGAGGCTGGACTGGAGGCTGGGACAGAACTTGACCCCAGTCACTCTGAAATACGGGATGCACGCATTCCAAGTGGTGCCTCTTTGTCTCTCAAATGAAAACAAAAAATATTGTAAAAAAGTATACACTAAGCGGGGCCGGTATTGTGGCGCACTAGGTTAATCCTCCGCCTGCAGTGCCGGCATCCCATATGGGCGCTGGTTCTGTGCCAGCTGCTCCTCTTCCAGGACAGCTCTCTGCTGTGGCCCGGGAAGGCAGTGCAGGATGGCCCAAGTGCTTGGGCCCTGCACCCGCGTGGGAAACTGGGAGGAGGCACCTGGCTCCTGGCTTTGGATCGGCGCAGCGCCGGCCATAGTGGCCATTTGGGGGGTGAACCAACAGAAGGAAGACCTTTCTCTCTGTCTTTCTCTCTCACTGTCTGTAACTCTACCTGTCAAATAAATAAATATTTTTAAAAAGATGTACAATAACCACCAGTACAATGCTTGAGATAAGAACACAACACTGATAATCCCTAGTCAGCAGGTGGAGGGGTGATCGTGCTCTCTGGTGCTGGTGGAGTGCAAACTGGTAGAAGGACCTTGAAGAACAATTTCAGACTCAGCCAAACCCATCCAGGAATTCTACCCCCCGGATATGGACTCAACAAGACGCAATTCACCAAAACCAAGGGCCAGTGTGTTCGCTGCCGCATTGTTGGAAGCTGGACATAAACTGAGTGTCCATTAGCAGGACAAGCAGTGAAGGCATCTGCTATGATGAATAAAGCAGAGCCAGATGCGACGTCATCTCGAGCAGAAACCAGAGAGAGCACACTGCGAAGTTTGGAACTGTGAGTTAGTGGGCGTGCTGGCCACTCGGGGGACATGGGGACACCAGCTGCTTTAGTCCTCAGCCTGGAAGCTGGTAGCACAGGTACCCTTCATCTGGGAAAGCCACCACACTGCTCACTTATGAGCTGTTTTGTTTTTAAAAATTTAGGGGCAGGTACTGTGTGCTGGGTAAAGCCCTCACCTGCAATACTGGCACCCTATAGACACCGGTTCAAGTCCCAGCTGCTCCACTTCCAACCCAGCTCTCTGTTAATGCACCTGGGAAAGCAGCGGAGGATGGCTCAAGTCCTTGGGCCCCTGTGCCCATGTGGGAGACCCAGAAGAAACTCCTAGATTAAGCCTGGCTGTTAAAACCATCTGAGGAGTGAACCAGAGGATAGAAGCTCTCTCTCTCTGTTTCTCCCTCTTTCAAGTAAATTAAATATATTGTTCCACTTCGATGTTTGCAAGATTGCTGAATGAAGGCGTGAGACCCCGCCAGGCTGCCGACTACCGAGACTGTCAACGTCCCCGGGATGAGCGCGCCCCTGCTCCACAGCTGCCCAGCAGCCACTGTCACCAGTTGCTGTAAACAGGCCCAGCACTGACCGAGAAAACGACGCCTACATGTGGTTTGTGTCATGCGGGGTCACGGGAACGCCAGGGCCACGGCCCCGCCTGCAGCAGACAGAGCACACGTTGTTCTGGTCGCCGAGGGAGGTCCTGCAGGACGCCACCCAGTCCCCGAGAACAGGCCCACCCAGCCCCATCATTAACCTCGAGCCACAGCACACACCAGAGGGGGCGTGACCCTTGGCTCCTCCCATGTGACCGCTGCACTGACAGCCACCTCTGGGCAGTAAGAGTCTCTCCACTTCTCAGAAGCTCCCTTTAGACTCACTCCCCAGATGGGAGTCTTGGGTGGGACACCTCATACACGCTCCAGACAGACAAGCGCCCTGGTTGGTGGACAGACGGGAGAGGAAGCGACGACTGCGATGACTGAGGAATGGGGCGGCAGGGACTCTGAGGTTGGCCCTGGCGGGGTCAGGCCCGAGACCCCTGTCAGGCGGCAGGTGTGGGTGCCCAGGAGGCAGCAGGGCACAGGCACCAGTCAGGGAGCAGTCAGGGCGTGGCGAGATCGGGGATCATCAGATGCAGGGGGAGGTGAGCTGAGGCAGGTGGGCAGAGCCAACCAGGTGAGGACGCGGAAAGAGGGCATGGAGGCCACTGCGAGCGAGGCCTGGTGGGCCAGCAGCAGGAGCTCCCTGGTGGCTGCCACGTGAGTCAGCTGCTAGGGCCCGGCCCCACAGGAGCATTCCCCCCCCGCCACACCCACCCAACACGAGGGCAGATTCGGGCCTCCCGAGCTCCAGGGGAAGCGGAGAGCAGACACTCTGGAGAGCCTAGCCCTGCTGGGCCCTGACCACCCAGCCCTCCTGCAGCCCTGTGCGCACGGTGCAGGGCGGCAAGGACAGCCAGCCTCGAAGCTTCCTAAGCAGGTAGCAGCCGGCCCACAACCAGGCCTGCAGGCAAGGCTTTATTCACACGGTCACCCCCGCCCTCCAGACCGGGACCCCCAGGCTGGGCTGGAGCTAACTGGTCCCGCAGGCCAGGCGCCCACCCCGCCGCCTGCTCACACATGCTGCTTCCGGTGCCGCAGCACCTCGGTGGGCGTGAACAGGAAGTCCTTCTGGCAGGCCTCGCAGTGGTAGGGCCTCTGCAGGGCAGACGCCTTCTGGACAGGCTCGGGGGCCACTTCCTCACCCCCTAAAGGAAGGGAAAGGGTGAGGCTGTGAGAGGGGCGCCCCACTGTGCACTCCCACCCACCACATCCAGGTTCCCACGGGGCTCAGGCTCTCTTCCCGCCTCCTTCCGGGAGCCGTCCTTGGTTAACACACGCACTGGCCAGTGAGTGAGACAGACAGACAGAGACACAGAGCCTGGAAGAGTGAGCTTGGGTGGGGCCGAGTGCCACGCTGCAGTCCCCCCCGCCCCCTAACCCCCACAGCACGCGACGCCCTGCAGTATGCTTTGGGTGACAATGGCACGGGTGGTCAGGGCAGTCAGCTACGAGACAGAGCAAAGAACAAGAGACAGCCACAGATGGACAGAGAAACAGAAACAGACAGGGACAGCAACCCAGAGACCAGAGGCAGGCAGGTGGGCAGACAGAAGCAGGTGGTGCTCCAGGGCCCATCTTTGGAACTGGGTCTGTGTGTGGCTCTGGCTAGGGGGTAAGGTCATCAGCCCCTAGCGTCCAGCAAGAGCCCAGCCACACAGGAAACAACGTGGGATGGCCGGGCAGCTGGACAGACACACACGGCTGGGGCCCCAGGCTTGCCTGCGGTGCCCTCCTGCGGGGCCTGGGGGCAGGAGCTCTCGTGGGCGATGCGCTCCAGGGGCGTGAGGGGCAGGTGCAGGTCGCAGTGGGGGCAGGTCCAGAAGCTGCGCAGGCAGTCGCTGTACAGGTCCACGTCACTCTGCAGCAGGCAGACTGTCAGGGCTTGGCCCCCCAACCCCAGACCAAGTCCCAGTGGGGGTAGGGCTTCCTAAAGCCCCTTCGCTAGGGCAGGAGGGTGAGGGGCCAGGGCGGGGTCAGGCTCACCGTGAGGCAGTTGTACGTGAGGAAGTCAGTGACGGCATAGCCCCCCTTGATGGGGTGGGGGGACAAGGTAGAGCTGCCAAAGAGGCCAGGGAGACTGGGGGCAGCTGTGACAGTCTGTGGCCCCACGTAGAGGTTCTGGGTTTCCAGCCCTGTCAGCCGCCGGAGGCTGTAGGGAACCTAAGGAAGCAGACAGCAGATAGAGACAGACTTGGGGGATGACTGTTGAGCTCCTGGATCCAGCTGTGCCTGAAACCTGCATTTGGACTTTCCCCCAGCCTCCATTCTTCCAGGAAGTCACCCTGGATTTCACCTTTCTCCCCCACCCCACCTACATGAACCATTAGGGGCAATTTTGCACTCTCCACTTAAAGAGTTGGGGGACTGGTTTAAAGTCTGTTCTGGCCAGCTCTTCCTCTCTGTCTTCCATGAACAGATGCCTACGGCTTCCCTCTCTCATCCTGAGCTCTCTTACCTGCTCACATCTTGCATGCAGAAGGTGCTTACTAAACATCTGAGGACACAGGTGGTGCAGGACAGGAGGCGGTGGGGTGGCCTCCACACCTCACAGCTGACTGACCATGGGCACGTTTTTAACCCGCACCGAGTGACCTGGAGGCTGAGCCTTCCCACGTCTGCAGCCCACGGGAGCTGACTCCTGACCGCAGGTGCGCACCAGCACGCAGGCCAGGCTACCTTGGACGCCATGAACTGCAACAGCTCCCTGCTCAGGGCCGCCACCTCCTTGCGGCTGATGGGCGGAGCCTCCTCCCCCTCCTCCTCCTCCAGGTGCTGCCGCCGGGCCTGATGGGCCAGCTGCCGGTCCAGGGCACTTTCCCAGTGAGCACGGAGCCGCAGGGAAGCCGTCAGGAGCCGGACGGCACTCTCGCTGTCCGCCAGCTGCAGCTCCAGCCAGCCGTCAGCCACCAGGCGGGAGCAGTCACCATTGGTGTCCAGGGACCGGCTGAACAGCAGCAGGGACTGCAAGAGAGGGGGCAGAGGATGGAGCGTGGGTGGGAGGGGCAGGACGCCATCTCAAGGAGAACTGCTCCCGCCTGGGCTCCTGTCCGCCCACCTGTCCATCTGTCTACCTGTCAATCTGAGGAATCCACCCCTGCGGGCTCTGCGCCAGACCCCTTCAGGTGCTGCGGACACAACTGTGAACAAGGCCTGGCCCTGGCCCTGACACCGACTTGGAGAGACAGGAGACAGCCTGACCCTAAGAGGCAGCTGAGCCCAGCAGGGGCGGGAGTGGGGGGTGGCAGCTCGGGGGCGACGCTCACGGACAGGAACACCGTGGAGGGCAAGAACCTGGACAGCAGGTGCACGCTCACCCACCAGGGCAACCAGGACACCATGCTGGGGCATCCCACAGCTGGGGCACGGGGTGAGGGGAGCGGGAGCAGCCACAGGTCCTGGGTGACGTGTGGGAGGGCTCGACACCTGGTTCTGCCTACTTCCAGACCCAGGTACCACTCTCCATGCACACAAAACACTGAGGGTGGGCAGAGACGCAGGCATGCGGCTGTTCCATCCACTGTCTGCGGGACATGACCGGGTGCACTCCAGCGGGGTGGCACGCGGTCGCCGAGGGGGAGCAGTGGCTCCTGGGCGGGAAGCACGGCGGCCACAACCCCTCCCGCAGGGACCTCTTCCCTCTCCGTCCCCTGGGACCAAGGCCAGGGTCCTGCTACCGTGGGCATACAGCTGAGAGCGCCACTAGGTGCACTGTGTGACCCTGGAGCTCTGCTTGGTCACTCGCTGCTGCCCACCCTGAGCCCGCCGGCCCTCTACAACGTGGGTCACAGGGGCCGGGCCTGGTGGCGTGCAGTGCAGCAGCCACTGCCGCCAGGACCACCTTTCTGGCCATAGACATGGGCACCAGCGAGTCTGCAACCCGAGCACCTGGACAGCTGTGCCCACCTCGGCACGGGGTGCCCAGCTCTGCCCAGCTTCCTGGGGCTCCGGTCTCACCTGCCTCTCTACGACAGCACTTCCAGCCCTCCCTGAGCACACTGAGCCTGGTGCCTCAGGGCCTTTGCGTGTGCCGCTGCTCTGCCCCTAGAGACCCTCTGACCGAGGCCCACCCTGCTGGCCTCATCGCACCGACAGCCCGTGCTCCGCATCCGCCCCTGCCCCACTGCTCATCTTCCCCTGCTACTTCCCTGGCTCAGTGCCCTCCTGCGTCTGCGCTGTCCTGAGGGCAGGGCTGGGTTCTCAGCAAACCCACGCAGGAAGAGGACAGCGGGCCCAGACAGCGGGCCCAGACAGCGCCGCCTGCAGCAGCTCCTCGGCAGGGGTGGCGCGGGGTGGGACGCACCTGCAGGGCGGGGATGCGGACGCAGTTCACCAGGTAGGGCTTGTTGGTCTCCAGCAGGGACACGAAGGCGAGGAGCTGGTGGCTGCTGTTCATCTTGTCCTTGTCACCTGAAGGGCAGCAGAGTGGCTCAGAGCCCGGCTCTCCCGCTCACCCGCCCCACCCCACCCGTTCACACCCACACGAGGAAGGGCTCGAGTGGGTCCTGGTAAGACATCCGCCACTTGTCCGCACATGCTCTGCCCGCAAGGAGGGAGAACCGGTGACCTGGTGCCACTGGCACGTGTGGCAACAGCGCGAAGGTCACGGAAAACCGGGCGTAGTGGTCAGCAGTGCCACTGCACACGAGACGGCGGCCAGCCCCAGCCCCTGACCATCGGAGTGAACCAGCCCATCAAAGACCCCTGTCGGGCCCTCTAACTTGAAGAGGAAAGGGCAGGGCAGTGTGGGAGTGGCCACTGGGAACTCAGAGCGCAGGGTCGGGGGGACCAGCGTGGCCCCCTCAGGGCCCTCCCTCAGCAGCCTCAGCTTCACGCATTTCTACCTGTGACACGAGCAGAGTGCCACGCACTCACTGCACACGCGGGCGGAGCCACCCAGAGCCTGGAGAGACCACGAAGCAGCCGTGGGGGCTCTGGAGCCAGCTTCCGCCAGCTCAGTGCGACAGGAATGGGGCTCGAGGCCCGGGGGACTGCTGGGCCCACGCCGAGGAGCACAGCCCACGGCCAGGGTTTCTGACACCCAACACTCCTTGGGCACGGCCACTGGCTAGATCGGTGTGCAAGGCCTTGCCCGAGGCCGACCTGGTGGTCCCTGGCAGCCCCCTCCGACGGGCCCTGCGTCAGCAGCGCCACACAGGTGTGTGGGAGGAGAGGCAAGCCCATGGGTGCCGCGCTCCTGAGGCCACTGCGTCACTGCCCCTCCCATGCGGGATGGGCCCCTCCCACCAGCTCTCGGTACCTTGCTTTCCTTCGCCACCCGCAGTCTCCCGCTCCTGTGTGTGCAGCACCTCAGGGTTGTTGGCAAAGACACAGGTGGGGTGCAGCACAGTGCCCTGCTTGGCCTGCGTGTGGAAAACCTGCAGAGGTGGGGTGGAGGCTCCAGACTCTGCTCTTCCCAGGCCCAGGTGCTTCCCTCCATCCTCAGAACCAGGTTCCCTCTTCCACGTCTCAACCCACACGCCCCTTCCTCCAGGAAGACCTCCCTGACTACGTTCAGGCTGAGTGAAGTTCATCCCAGCCCTGCCCCCCTCCAGGTGTCATTCTGGGATGTCTGTGCCACTGAGCTGTAAGCCCAGTGAGGGCAGAGCCAGGGCTGTTTGCAGTCCCCACCATGTCCCTAGCACAGAGTGACAACCAAACAGGGATGGGAGTGGAAGAGGCCCACCTGGTCAGAGTCCTTGCGGCCACTGTTGAGTGCATCGGGGACGGCCAGCTGCGGATAGAGGCCCCGGCCCAGCACCAGCTTGAGCAGGGCCATCTGCTCCCGGCTCAGGTCCTGGGCAGCGCTGGCGGCCGCCTGCAGCTGTTCCAGGTTGTGCCGCAGCTTGAACTTCACGTCCTGAGGGGCCATGGGAGGGAAGCGGGCTCCTAGGAGCTCTCCCAACTCTGCCTAGTGGGCTGGGGCTAGGACACATGCACCCTGGGGCTCCGGGCCAGGCCCTGTCTGGGACCTTGTTCCCTGGTGCAGGGGCAGGGACGGGTCCCCTCAGGCTCCAGGACAGAGCACAGAGCCGACTCCCCTCCATGAAACTCCTGCTCACCCCAGCCCGCAGCCCCACGGCGCCCCACCTGGATGTCCACGTTGTCATCGGCCGCCCGGCCTGCGCAGTCCTCCTCGCTGGAGCAGTCGCCCAGGTCCTCCTGCAGCCGCAGAACCTTGCGCCTGCGCCCTGCGCCCTCCTCGTGCTGCCGTTTCAGCTGGTGTAGGGCCCGGCGCTCGCGACGCTGCTCCAGCCGACTGTAGCTGTCCCCCGGCGCCACCGGCTGAGCCTCGGCCAGTAGCCCGTGGTCTTCCAACAACTCCTGGGGGCGTGGGGGGGGGGACAGAGAGACACAGAAGGCTGAGTGGGCTCTAGCATCAGATGTAGGTTCAGGGCCAAGGCCCACCACTTGCTGGTGAGTGCCTTCCCCCTCTGAGCCACCAGCTTCCTCACACGGAAAATGAGGACCCCTCAGGATCCCACAGGGCTGCTGGAGGCTGGGGGCAGCAGATAACTGCTCCATGGGAGACAGCGCCATCACCGCTGGCCAAGGGAGTGCCGGCAAGGGACAGGAAGGGGCAGAAGAGGGGTCAAGGCGAGTGCTCCCTGGGGTCCTCCCTAGGGGCTATGGTCAGCGACCGCTCCCTACAGCCCACAGCTGCCTCCAGGCTCTAGCTCTGCCCCCACCCTCCCCTCAGGCCCAGGGGAGGGCCCTGTCCCGCTGGTCCCAGGATGCTCCAGCCCAGGAATGGCCTCAGAGCCCGGCTTCCAGCACACCCGGGAACCTGCTGGAAATGCCAAGTCCTGGCCCCCAGCGCAGACCCAAAGTCAGATCTTATGGAAGGGCTGGACGGGGGCCGGGAGTCTGCATCCAGCAGCCCCCAGGTGGCTGACGTGCAGTCACTCCAAGCCCCCAGGCCTCCACTGGCCACGCCTTCATAACAGCCCTCATGTGACCCAGGCTGATGGGACCCTGCTTCCTGTGGAGCCCCTGACCCATAGAGGACTGAAAGGGGCCCACACTCCTCGAGACAGCCCAACAAAGGTTCCCTGAGATGCTAATAGCAATCGGGACAACGGGTCCCCACCACAGGGACCCCGGAAACCGCACAGGGGCATTGGCCAGGTAACCACGCACTCTGGGCCTCAGTACACCCATCTGTAACCAGAGGGAACAAAGGAGACAGGCTCTGATGTTTCAGCCACGGAGACACGCCGGAGGGAGCTCCGTGCCAAACGAAGTGACAGCCACGGAGCACGACCCCAAGAGCCGTGGAGGGGCCGGGCGGGGGGCCGGGGGTGGGGGCGGGGCTCATCACGACTCCACAGGCAATCTCCTCGGGCCACCCTCACCCTACAGGCATCCAAACGGGTACCCGCAGGCGCTGTGCTCAGAGAAGACTGTGTGGCTGGGCGACATTTATCTTCTGTTTGTGGAGGGGACGTCCGGGGGCAGGCTGCTGGCGAGCGGCAGAGTGAGGGCTGGCTCCGTGAGGGCGGCTCCATCTCAGGGCCCCGAGCCTCGCCCTCAGCCGCCTCACAGCGCTTGGCCTGTGCTTCAGGCTGTTTCCCTGGTCCAGAGCGTGAGGCTCTTCCATGAGGACGCGGCAGGTCACTGCTCACCCCATCTGCCTCCTCCAGGAAGCCTCCTGGGGTTCTGCCCTGCCCAGGCTACCCCACACCTGCTCGTCTGCCGGCGGGGGAGGTGGGGGGAGGGAAGGAGTCTGGTCTGATCAGGGAAGGGGAGAGGAAGGGTCTGCAGGGGGCCGGCACTCTGCTTGCTGGGCAGGGCCGGCCCAGGCCACTCAGCCTCACCTTGAACTGGCGCCGCAGGTTGGCCATCTCATACAGCCGGTGCTCCTCTATGCCTCGGCGGCGGCACCACTTGCGGGAGTTCCTGCTCCGTTCTGATTTCACCTGCGAGGCGGAGCGGACGTCCCAGTGCCTGAGCCCAGCCAGTTCAGGGGCACCGGGGGCTGGCCCACCACCCAGCACGAGCTGCCCCAGCACGAGCCACGGCGGGCCATGAGGCAGGTGGGAGACCTGCTGGCCCTCACTCAGGGACAGCTGCTCTCCTCCTTCCAGGTCTCAGCCCCAGCACTCCCTCCCACAGGAAGTCCTCCTAGACCACCCTGTGGGCTCTCCCAGCCCTCTCTGGGGTGTCACTGTTTAAGGTTAGGTCTGTCTCCCGGCTCCAGACTGGGAACCCCAGGAAGGCAAGACCAGGGTAGTTCTGGTCACCAGCAGGTCCCCAGCACCGACCAGCTCGGGACTCAGGACACGAGTCCTGGATGCATGGTTGCCAGGCTAGGGAATGCGACCCTTCTACAGGTGGCACTGGCTTTAGAAACCCCGGGGCCGAGCCCATGCAGCCCCTCAGCCAGAGGTGGGGAGGGCTCACGGGTCCTCCCAGGGAGGGGACAAGGTACAAGGAGCCGCAGCGCAGGATGCCCAGACCCCATGCAGGACACGTGGACAGAGCTCCCCTGGCAGCCTCACCTGAACCCAGGCGTTGAAGATGTTGAAGAGCGTGAGGGGGTCGCCCTGGTCGCTCTCCAGCGGCCGCCGAGCCGCCGCACACTCCAGGCTGCTCTGGGCGCTGCGGGTGAAGGGCGACTGGACACTGAGGGCGGCCGCGACGGTGAGCATGGGCTCCGCCAGGCTGAACACGGAGCCCAGGATCAGCATCTTCCCTGGCGGGCAGGCACGGCTGAGCCTCTTGGCGCTGGGACGGGGCCCCTCACCCCCGGGGCCCTCCCACCCCTACTCTGCATCCCCCCACAAAGGCCCCAGGAGCCAGAGGGTTGGATTCAAACTCTCCTGCCGTGCTTTCTGGACACGTGACCCCAGCACTGTCCTGGGATGACGGCGCCACCACTGCTGTCACTGACGCCACGGCCTTCCTGCTCTCCCACTCACAACTGCTGCCGCCCCAGCTGCCCCTGCTTCCGGCACCTGCCCTCAGCTGCCAGGGGAACGGTGCTCCCCCGCCTCGGAGACCTGTGCACAACCACACCTGCACCAGCTCTAGCACACAGCAAGTGCTAACTCTGCTGCGGCAGAATGAATCTCTTGCCATCTTTGTCCAACTCAAGGGTGGTGGCAGAGGAAGAAGGGGGGAGGAGAGTGAAAGCAAGGAAAAGAAACAGAACCTCAACATGGCCAAACGTCTGTCTGTGAGGCGCGCCCGGGGGAATCTGGCCATCTCCGGCCTTGCCCACCTGCCCTGTGACTGTGGCTCACATGTCCCAAGTCTGACAGTCCCCATGACTTCATGCTAAGCACCTGTCCCATGGCTGCCCTGGTCAGATAACGCTGGGCAGTAAGGCCAGGCCCCCGGCTCAGTGACCACACGTATCCTTCCACCTAACCAGGCCTCTGTTTCCCTATCTGAAAAATGAGGAAACAGGGGTTGGCATTGTGGCGCAGTGCGCTAGGCCTCCACCCGAGGTGCCAGCATCGCATATGGACGCTGGATTGAGTCCCGGCTGCTCCTCTTCCAATCCAGCTCTCTGCTATGGCCTGGGAAAGCAGCAGAAGATGGCCCAAGTTCGTGGGCCCTTGCACCCACGTGGGAGACCCGGAAGAAGCTCCTGGCTTCGGATCGACTCAGCTCTAGCTGTTGCGGCCATTTGAGGAATGAACCGGCAAATGGAAAACCTCTCTCTCTGTCCCTCCCTCTTTCTGTAACTCTCATAAAATAAATAAATAAATCTTAAAAAAAAAAAAATGGGGAAACAGCATTGACCTCTCCTCTCCGGGGTGCTCCGAGAATCAACTGGGGCTCACCTCGTAACAGGCTAGGAACTGCACTGGCACGGAGGACACCCCAGCCAAGACCCCTGCACCCCCAGCTCTGCTGCTACCCATCTGGGAGCCTTCCTCTCCTTCCACAGGAATTGAAAAGTCATCTCCCTGCTCTGACCCGGGGAGGTGGCGCGAAGGAAGTACTGAGCACCAGCACCCACCAAAGCCAGGCTCTATGGCCACTGCTTCCCAGCGGAGTTTCAGTATCCTCACCTGTACAGGGCGACACGAGGCCCTGCCCTCAGCAGTAAGCACCAAGCGACACAGCGAAGCGCTGACACAGCCATGCACTCACAGAATGGTCTGCTGACCCCCTTTCTCCAGCCCTATGTGCTTCTAAACAAACAAAATAACTACCTCAGCCCGGGGGGCACTTGGAGCGGCTGGCCCAGCCTCAGCCCACCCTGGGGACCACAGTCTCTGCGCCAGGTGTCCAAGGCGTTAACGGAGACGGTTCAAGCAATGGCACCCCAGGAGGCCCTGCTGAGGCAGGAAGAGTGGGCGGCGTGGGCTGTGATGGCAACCGAGCCACTGCGAGGAAGAACAAGCGTGGTCAGCAGGCTCCCCAGAGGGCAGCGATGACTCAGGAACGCGCGAGAGAGCAACAGGCAGCCGAGTTGCAAAACCTCAATGACCGCAGAGCAGGCAAGGACAGAGTAGGAACAGGCTGG